TAACTGTTGTTTAGTAATAGGTCTGAGTATATGTATCATCTGATCTAATACAGGAGGGTATAAATAGTATATACTATTATTGTCCTTGACAAAATAGCTAGTTTTCTGTATATGATCATTTTGTGTAGGAACTCATACATAAAGTGCATATTTAACTGAGATTCTGCTGTTTTTGCAGGTTGTGATGAAGAGTGCACAAAGTGTTGCTGAAGCTGTTGTCAGAACTAGATCATCTTTATCAACATGGTCGTCTTGCATGGCCGCACGCCGCCGAAATGTTGACTCTTCATCTAACTCCGCAACAGGAACTTGGTTGGTGCTTCTCTAACATCTGAGTTGAGAAGTGAATCTGTTCTGACTGAAGTGATGGAGACTGAGCCTATGCTGGATACAGATGAACTCTGTTACTCAAGTAGAGCATCGAGCCACCACGATGACACAGATGAAGAGGAGCAACTCGTTCCCAGTAATCAAGGTGGTACCACTTGCACCGTAGACGACATTACTCAAGGCCAATTGTGGTGTGAGCTGGAGAAGGAACTTCAGAAGCCGGATTATACTCTGACCATTGCCCAGGAAGCTGAAGAAGAAGCTGCTGCAGCTAAGGAGATCATAGAGGAAGAGAATCAGCTTCTTGTTGATGCTGCTGAATGCAGCAACTCAAGCACATCATCGAGCTACTCCGATAGCCATCGCTTTTATCCTCCTGGGAGAATCACACATATCGTGTCTGTAGCTTGTGAGGAAGATTCGAACTCAAATTCTGATGATCCTGTTGAGGAACGTGTCTGTTTATATGAAACACGCAGAGAGTTGTACAGCAAGCTCAGACTTTGTAAATCAATGATCAATGATCATACATGCCCATGTACAAGAAGATGTTGGAACGACTAATTCGAGAACTCGAGAAAGATAGCAGCTGCCCACCACAATGTAAAAAAAAAAAAAAAAAAAAAAAAAATCCAATCAGAAGTATGTAAATCCTCTATTTATATTTTATAATATACTATGAAATTTGGAAAAACTGAATCTGTGAGCCTCTCTGCAGGAGAGAGACTTCCAAAAATTGAGGTCTTGTCTCATCGGAAGATAATTGTGTTCTCCGACGGGTCATCTTTCACCTCCTGACAGGAAGTAAGTATCCTAATGCCTTGCATCTCAGTATGCGTATTCCTTGCCATTAAGTCAGCAGACTAATCGATTCCCTGCCTGTGAAAATGAATTCAACCTCCTTAAGTTGGCAAAGGTAGGTGCGTATCTGATAGATAATTGGCATGAGAGGGTGGCTAGGAGCACATTCCCTCATAATCAGATGCAATCCCTCTGGCGAGTAAGTATGAATCATGACTTTCTCAAAACTCTGTACTTGACACAGCCGAATCCCAGTTTTAATACCCTCCAGCTCAGCTTCAGTAGATGTTCCTCTCCCCACATGCTGTTGGAAGCCTAAAATCTCCTGCATAAGTTGCATTCCCCTGCGAGTTCACAGATCCAACTATATCAAAATTAAGATGGGCTGGATGTGGCGGTTTCCATGAGTCCTGCACATTAGGTTCAAGACAGTATATTTTTTGGTGCTGACTCGTCCTCCAAGGCCGTGTTGACAGATATGAATGATGTCTGCAGCATTTGATAATTTTTTCTTGAAAGACGCAGTTGCAGCGCGTGCTTTCCAGAGACCCCAACAGATATGGCTGAAAATTTTGTGCCAAGGCCAATGCCTGGAAACTCCTACGCCAGCTTCTGATTTAGCATTCCATTTTAACCAGTCTTGCAAAGATAAACCAAAAACCTTTTGTTCAAGGTTAGGATTAATGCATAAAAGCCAGATCATGGGTTATATACAATCGGTTTTTTCTGTGCTTTCAAATATTGTATATTCTGTGCTTTCAAATGTTTTTTTAATCACAATATTAGAGGGTTATATGAGTGCTATTGTGGAGTCACAGAATTAAAGGGTTATGAAAATTTGCTGTATCCGTTTCATTTTTATAAAAATAAATTTAGACGCTATTTGTTTGAAGTTTCCTTGTCGTTATTACTCGTGTTACTATTTACTGCTCATCTTGGTTGAATGATATGCGGGATTAGGTTCAATGTACAGAAGTCCTGAACTTTCATAGAAGCTTAAATATGATATTTCAAAGTTAGCACCTTTTGATCTTAATTGTTTGTAAGTTTGGTAGCTTAACTTGCTTTTGATTTTTTAATTTTGATAACCTGTATGCCGAAGCGGAAAACCTTTTTTTTTTTTAAATAATCTTTGCATGACATTTTGTCATTAAAGTCCAGTGAATAATAATCACCAAAATCCCACATTATAGTGGCAATCTTGGCTTACACATATGTTGGGTCGGACTAGAATGCCAGCTGAGGGGGCAATTTTTTTAATTGTATATAGGTGTCATCTTAGAGATAATCTTATTCAAGACAACTAAATATTAAATATGAATACCTTTTTTAATAGATATTTGAACTTTGATTTGTCATGTTGTTGTGAAGCACCAGTCTTTTCTGTTGATGGAGACAAGCTAATATACTCATATATTGTATATGTGGTTAACCAAGAAGGTAAGTGTAGAGTTACTTTTCTTATTTTTCATTACTTGGGCTACAGTTTCATTTCTTGTAGCTTGCTTCTTAACTAGTTCAGTGGAATAATCTTTCTACTATTTCACATACAACTTCAAGCTCTGATTTCTTTTTGGTATAAGATATATATGGTGTTTAGTGCATAGAGTAGTGTTGTATGATATTTTGTTGGTTGGGTTCATTTCATGAGACTTAACAGTTCTGTTGTCTAGTATAATAGGTCCAAGTATGGATGACATGAAAGAGAAGACAAAGTCGTACTGTCGTTGACAAAATAGCTGGGTTCCTATAGACGATCATTTGTGGAAGAACTTCATACACAACGTGCATCTTTATGTTGGTGAGGATTCTGCTGCGATCAAGTAGCATCACACGCCCATGTACAAGATGATGGAACCAATCCAAGAACTCGAGAAAGATAGCTGTTTGTTTGGACACAACAACGAAAAACAAACGAACACCAATTGAAAAAGAACATTCGAAGTTCATCCTTCACAACACTTTACAGATATCTTCATGCAACAGCTTCTCATTTCGTAAGTTCAGTAACTAATTGGAAAATAGAATTTGTGAGCCTCCCCATAGAAGAGAGGCTTCCAAAAATTGACGGGCGGACCCCACCGAAAGTAGGGCGGGATCCACTCGTCTTACAGAAATGTGTTCTTCATCCAGGTGTCGGCACGACCCGCCGTCTCTAAACGATCATAGACGAGTCGCCTTTCACCCCCTGACAGGACGGGTTAAGGGTACCTCGCTCATGGTCCGATTATTTATAAGCAGCTTCCGACCCTCTAAATTGCGAGTTTCCCGATGTGGGACTTTGCTCGCAGACATAATTCAATCCTAAGTCTAGCCGTCTAGCTTCAGGGTTTCTCACAAGTTCTGGAAGGAGGGAGGAACATACAAGAGGAGAAGGATTTGTAAGGAAGCAACAATCCATAAGGTTTTTTTTAATGCACTAGGAGGCAAAAAGTATAGAAAAAGAAACAGCAATTTTCAACCCTTATCCGTGGCTTTATTGATAATATTGGAGGTTTTATAAGAACAATTGTTTGATAATCAGAAAAATATACATTACATGCAAGCCAATTAACACAAGTATCAATTAGCTATTTGGCTTACAAGAAAATGGTGCTTGGATTTTGAATCAGATTAGATTATTGTTGTAATTATATGTATAACTCCTTGAATGAAGGTAGACAATTATTGACTAATAGAATTTCAGACATAATACTTTATTGAATTAAATCATCATAAAAGTGTAAAAATTATTATATATTCATTGATTTTTAACGTTTGAGAGATTACATGATTGTCACATGATACTCTTACTTTTATTCTCTCCTTCTTATATTCATTTTTAACTTGCAATTTTTCCAAAGAATGCTTGAAACTTTAGCATCAATGATGTTTGCTTCTTGCTCCTTGTAAAGCGAAAAATAACTTCCTCAGGCAAAGTGGGTGTACCACTCAATTTCCCTCAAACAACAATTCTAATGAAAAAGTTATTTCTAAAAGCATAAACATGTAAATTTTGCGATGCAAGGGCTCATTTTCCATTTTCGTTGTAGCCACCATTCCTATTTGCCAACTATTACTGAGTCAATACCCATATCCTCATTCCAAGATGTCTGTCATATTGGCTCAAGACCCCTCTTCTCTACTCTCTAGTTTAATTCTGAATTCCAGACCTCACAATATGTCATTGATGAAATAACAATTTTCCAGAAGCAGCAAAGATGAGAGCCTTCACTGGAAGTACATTGTTTCTTGCTTTCGTCAACCGCCATAACGGGCTCTAAATTTATAAGCAGCTTCCGACCCTCTAAATTGCGAGTTTCCCGATGTGGGACTTTTGCTCGCAGACATAATTCAATCCTAAGTCTAGCCGTCTAGCTTCCGGGTTTCTCTCACAAGTTCTGGAAGGAGGGAAACAGACAAGGGAGAAGGATTTGTAAGGAAGCAAAACATCCATAAGGTTTTTTTTAATGCACTAGGAGGCAAAAGTATAAAAAAGAAACAGCAATTTTCAACCCTTATCCGTGGCTTTATTGATAATATTGGAGGTTTTATAAGAACAATTGTTTGATAATCAGAAAAATATACATTACATGCAAGCCAATTAACACAAGTATCAATTAGCTATTTGGCTTACAAGAAAATGGTGCTTGGATTTTGAATCAGATTAGATTATTGTTGTAATTATATGTATAACTCCTTGAATGAAGGTAGACAATTATTGACTAATAGAATTTCAGACATAATACTTTATTGAATTAAATCATCATAAAAGTGTAAAAATTATTATATATTCATTGATTTTTAACGTTTGAGAGATTACATGATTGTCACATGATACTCTTACTTTTATTCTCTCCTTCTTATATTCATTTTTAACTTGCAATTTTTCCAAAGAATGCTTGAAACTTTAGCATCAATGATGTTTGCTTCTTGCTCCTTGTAAAGCGAAAAATAACTTCCTCAGGCAAAGTGGGTGTACCACTCAATTTCCCTCAAACAACAATTCTAATGAAAAAGTTATTTCTAAAAGCATAAACATGTAAATTTTGCGATGCAAGGGCTCATTCTCCATTTTCGTTGTAGCCACCATTCCTATTTGCCAACTATTACTGAGTCAATGCCCATATCCTCATTCCAAGATGTCTGTCATATTGGCTCAAGACCCTCTTCTCTACTCTCTAGTTTAATTCTGAATTCCAGACCTCACAATATGTCATTGATGAAAATAACAATTTTCCAGAAGCAGCAAAGATGAGAGCCTTCACTGGAAGTACATTGTTTCTTGCTTTCGTCAACCGCCATAACGGGCTCTTAAAGATTCGGGTGGTTCTTCATCCATAATGCTCGTTCCCACCTTTTCTAAGTACTGACGTATGGTTGTCTTACGGTCTCCAAGGAAGGTATGATCCAGAAAATTATTGTAAGCTTCATCACCAAGGTTTTTCGCTGCCAGCAAACTGCAGTAATTCGTTTTGAGCCGATATATATAACAATAGAACATAATCTATGCATGTCATGTAGCGGATAGGCTATAAGCAAATGCTTTAGATAATTCCAACAAAGCTAGGACAGCAAAATAATTCTAGCGGATAAATCTATTTATTGGCATTCTAGCCCAACCATTATTTAAATCCTTTGACAATAAAATTACATAGATTTTTTTTTTTTTTGGTGGGGGGTGTGTGGATAGTATTATGATTGAGATAATTTAGCAGGTAAATTACATGTGTGCGAGACTGCAAGTAATGAAAAGAATACATTAACAGTCTGGTGCCAGATTCTCTAATGTAAGGAACAGAGAACCTACCAGTGTCGCAGATAAACACGGCAGGGTAGAACATCATCCCGCCAAATCTTATGGATCTTGTATTCTCCATATTGCTGAAAATAAACTTCCCTGCCCTCTGCATGAATTGGCACAGGTATAAGGAAATACTCAAGTTACAGAAATGACAAAATGAGAAAAATAGACAGCCAAAATTGATGTAAGGTGCTGAAGGCAACAGTAAATTGGGATATCTGAGCCGAGTCCAATCTTCTAAGTGTTGCTAACTCAGACAAAATGAGCCATTTTCCCGGTCTTCAAAAAGGAATATGAGATTTACTTTTGAAACTGTGTTTAACTTGGTTAGTAAACATCATTGACAGACCAGCTTCAATTTACAAATGCTGGACTGGGAAAGTGAAAGAAATCAGAATGACATCCAGGTATTTCCACAACTTTATGGCCATCAAGTTGCTTTATCACACGGATATTAATAAAGCCAGATATATAAACAAGGAACTGTTCAAATATTGTACAGGGTCATACTCCGGTTGCCTTGTAATGATGTAGTTGTAGAGCAGTATGTGAAGCATGAACATTATCATTTTGCATGCATCCCTGAGACAAATTTGTGGAGAGCTAATCTTAATCTTACATACGTACATGATATAGGTCAAACACATCGGCCAATATGGTGGCAATGTCAATGAATGACAATTAGCCAAAGCCGTATTTGAGATAATTAGCTTCTTCCTTTCGTTGCATTTCCTCACCAGTAGAAACTTGAAAAATTACCTTTGCACCTAAATTTGAAAAATTCCTCATCGCTAGAAGAAGAACAAAGGACCTGCATTGGTGAAACACAAACTATCGTAAATCCAATAGCGAGTAACCTTACAAATAAACTAAACATAGAGACTGCCGCAAGGCTAAATTCGAAATGCATACTGCTTCATTGGGAAAAGGCTTCCCGTCCAGCGTTTCAGGGACGACCTATGCCAGAGAAAGCCAACAATGGGTTATACTTGAACCAAATTCCAAATCTGTTTGATCATCAATACAAAAAGCAACTCACAGCTAAAAATCGATATTCGCGCTCCCTTTCAATAAAAGCTGGAATCTGACTCCGAAAGGACAACAAAAATGGGGTTAAATTTCATTCATAATGATAAAAGAATTCTTCCTAACTCTTAAAATTAGACTTAGTTGTGGTATATTAATAAGGATTAAGGACAGACCACCCTCACGGAAAATTCAAAAAGCATGAGCTAATACCTCTGATTTCTTAATCTCAAAAACTGTGACTATAATGATTTCACCTTCACAAGGCTCAACAGAGAGGCCAGCAATCTCCTGAAGGTCATCAATCAAATACAATAAATCAGGGTAAATTTACGTTTTCGTGTAAACCGGTAAAGGAAATCAGCATGTTCAACTAACTACTGGTAGCTCCTTTTAGTAAAACAAAACATTTTATCACAAGATACCAAGAACTAAATTCATCATAATGTAAATCAGTTTCTTTTTCTTGTGCCTGTTATAAGTGATCTCAATCTATCACCAAAATAGGATAAGCGATTAAGATATCAATTTTATTTATTTGAAAATAGAATAAATTTAAAATTTTATCACTATATAAACGAATTTTTTTAAAATTTATATTACATTTTTTATTTTAAATAAAAGTAAAACAAAACATTTTATCACAAGATACCAAGAACTAAATTCATCATAATGTAAATCAGTTTCTTTTTCCTGTGCCTGTTATAAGTGATCTCAATCCATCACCAAAATAGGATAAGCGATTAAGCTATCAATTTTATTTATTTGAAAATAGAATAAATTTATAATTTTATCACTATATAAACGAAATTTTTTTAAATTTACATTACATTTTTTATTTTAAATAAAAGTAATATTTAAAAAAATACAACTAATTTTCAATAGTTCTTCTAGAAAAAATTGTTCTAGAAAAAATTCCTCTAGAAGGGGCAAGAGAGTAGTCTATCCAGATGAAATACAGTAATTTAGAAAAAACAAAAAAAACCTCAGTTGCCATGTTAGCAATGCCGTGAACGAAGAAGAGGCCTCCCACCCCCGTGAAGACACGGCGGAAGCCGGTCAACCTGGCGATTCTGAAGTTTATAAGCTCCGGAAATGTGCTTTTCGCACTTTTCTCTGCATCAAATGACATCACATTACGATTGAATGCATAGCAACAGAACTGGAGTCCTTAATAGAAACTACAGGACAAAGTAAAAACACACCGGAGAGCAGCGAACCGAAGCCACAAATCGAGATATAGCCGTCTTTGGAGGCGAGTGCTTCAAAATCGGACTCCTCGTTGAGAACCTTCACGTTGTAATGCCGGTGACCAGAGGACATGATGATGAACGAGATCGTCAAAGATCGGAATCGGAAGCGTTTGTGGCACTCGCAAATGGAGCGAGTGAGAAATCAAGAAACTTGCCAAGACTATGGGGGATCGCAAGATTGGTTTGCTAAATAAAAGAACGCATCAGCTCAGCATCATCATGCTGAGAGATGATGGGTGCATTGGGCAGGATAACATATATTATTGTTCAGAATTTTGAAATCTTATTTAATTATAAATTATAAATATATGACAAATATATACTTATCGATTTAAAAATATAAAACAGTTTGATATTTTTAATATATAATTAATAAGTTTTTTAAAAATATTCTTATTACATAAATCATTCAACATCTCATCTTTAAATGATACACCCTATTAAATAATAATAAATATGAAGGAATGATGTTAATTATTAGTTTAAAAATATTTAACTAATTTATTGAGATTATAATTTAATTAAAAATGTCTTATATTTTTTTAATGGATGAAATAGTAATTAATTTTTTTTCAATCCTTTTTAATTGTAACAAGTTTAATTTCTAGACATATTTTATTGTGATTATTAATTTTAGTGAAGAGCAAAATTAAAAAGTGAAATATTTTTTTTACAAGTTTAAAGATATTAATTCTTATAAAAATCATAAAATTGGCTAACTTTATCCCATGATTTATATTATAAGAATTAACATAAAATGTCATCATAATTGCTTGATTTCCTGCCTTCGATCTAAATTCAAAGCATCAAATCTGCCACTGTTTTTGATGAGCTGGACTGGAGGAATGTTTTGCACAGACAGGGCGATTACTGATGCGCACACAGCTCTCAATCAAGAACTGTTAAAAAAATTTATATTAATTAAAAATTATTTATTATCAAAACTTAAGTAAACACTTGTTGATTAGAGTCATTCTTTTATTAATAATATTTATTTAATTTTAACAATAATTTATTTTAAATTAATAATAGTTTATTTGAGTTTTTTTCCATTTGAATTTTGATAATTAGTTCTTGACTGATATAAATTTCTTCCAGCTATCCTTCATTGCTATTTTTCAAAAATTATCTTAAATATTAGTCACTCCCTTTTATTATATGTATTTTTAAAATTATTATATTTATGTTAAAAAATAGGGTAAATGAGCCAATTAATTCCTAAATTTTAAGTTTAATAGCATTATAAACTCTAAACTCATTTATTATGTAAATTATTTTCTTAACTTTTAAAAATGGTACAATTTAATCTCTACCATTAACAAAAAATAACTTTAACTGTTAATTAATTAGAAAATGACAAAAAAGAATATCAAAAATTATAGAAAATAACCAAAAAAATTGATCCTTTTATGTAATTTTTTAAATCCTTGATTATAATTTTTGGGGTCCTTCATTGTAAATTTTTTGCTTTTTTGCTATAATTTTGTCATTTTCTGACATTTTATATTAATTAACAGTTAAAATTAATTTTTGTTAATGATAAGGGTTAAATTACACTGTTTTTAAAAGTTAAAAAAATAATTTACATAAAAAATGAATTTATAGTATATGATGTTACTGAAACTAATGGTGACAAGATAATTTGTTCATTTATTCTAAAAAAATACAATACTAAATATGTAAAAGTATAACATACTTTATTAAAATTGTCCATCATTTAATACCTCTAAAAATATTGAAAAATATTATTATAATAATGAAGGGAGTGTTTATTATTATACTAAAATATTGTTTTGAAATTATAAAAAGACATGTAATATAAATTTTTTTAATTAAAAAGACATAATAAAATGAAGGGAGTGTTTATTTGGGGAAAAAAATTGGAGTCAATAACCCTCCCCAAAGAGAAGATCTTTCTACGTACCACTTGCATCCAACCGATGCGCAGATAATATGGCAAATTATGCTTAATTATTGTTTCACATATGCATTGTCTTGATTGGCATTAATACACGCAGTTTTCTAGACCTTTTGTCGAGAGAGAGAGATTCATATGAAACTTCTTTAAATACTGTCCGGAGCAAAGGACAAAAAAGAATGTAATGAAGATAGTCATTAGAGTAAATGTGTTTTATTGAGCAATGAATTTTATACAACTAGCGCCCATATGACCTCTGCAAAAAAAAAAAAAAAAGGGAGGGGAAAAAAATATTTATATATATAACTACAGCCTCTCCTTTCCTTTCATCTCGCTCTTGCAGAATTTTAATAAAACAAAATTCTGCAAAAAAAATAAATTAAATTCCCTGCGAGCAAGAAAAAAAAATGCTTGCTTCAGGTAAGCATATTTTAGTGGAAAACCTGAGTAGCATAGTATTCACTTTCATTAAAAGCAGGTCTTAGACTTTCTTGACACATGAACTCCAAGGGAAAGGAAACAAGATGACCCTTCACGGAAGCCAACCTTTCCGAAGGATCAGTTTTCTTGATATCTCCATCATGATAGGATTCCAAATTTTCAGGGGCAATTCCTAAGTCAATGGTAGTATGGCCAATTCTTTCTTTCCAGAGAGCTGTGCTTTGCCTGAAAGTAAGTCTGCACAAAGCAAGACGAGAGATTAGATGAATCGTTTGTTTGGATGGAAAGAAAAATAAAAAGAAAAAAAACAGGAGAGAGAACTTTTAAAAATAGTAAAAAAATTATTATTTTCGAAAATTTTGTCTCTTGGTTTTCTCTCATTACTATTTTCGTAAAACTTTTTCTTCAATCCAAACTCAGCGTTAGAGCCACCCAAAACAGAAAGAAGCACGAAAACGGTCACGGTCATACCTGGTGTGAATCAGATCATTAGGTACGCAAGAAAAGACATCCTGATAAATTGCAGTATTTGTCTGCACGATAAGAATAAGGAGTTATAAAACTTTGATAATACAGCATTTTAGATGTTTGCTATTACATTAGTCAATAAACACTTGACGTGTGAATATTTTTTATTTTACAGTTCAGCATCTTCTAAAGAATTCATTTAAAGAGGTTCGTGTGGAATTTCAGAGAAAAGGATAATTCTCATTGGTTATCATATTGAGGTACATACTGACTATATACAGGAGGGGAAATAATCACTAATAATGACTACTAAAGCCTAATAGATACTAATAAAGGCCATACAGTATTTACAATAAAGAGCAGATATTCCCACAGTGCATCAACACTTTTTTCTGGATTAGACAAACTGATAGCTAAGAAACATTATCAACTAAATGCCATCTCATTCCACCATTCATTTGACACGAAAAAACTTGTCTATCATGCCCCTTCACATGAAAGCACATTACACTTGAAGCATGGAGAAACCTCAGACACAGACCCACACACTCTAGGCTGAAAGTCTGAAACTTCCATTTAATATTAGAGAAACAGGGCGCGGCAAGGATTGAAATAGAAACAGACCGCTTCAATTTAACATGCTCAACTTTTAAGTGAAAAGCATGTTGGCCCCAGAAAATATATATACCAAGTAGAAGAACAAGTTGATTATAATCTCTACCATCAACAAAATGCCCAAATAGAAGAAAATCTATGGGAACATGTCTTATTATTATTATAATAGTATTCTTTATTCAGATATTGAAGCAGAAGACTAGATGAAGAATTATCCTCCTCAGACGAGTTTGAAGAAAAAAAGGATACAAATTGCAAAAAAAAAAAAAAAAAAAATCAAAACGCTCAAAATGAAGAGACAAGTTCAGCCACCATAAACTCCAGCTCAATAGGACATTAGCATGACAGATAAGGCACAGTACTCAAACGAGAGGAAGTCCAAATTTTTAAATTGTAGTTGTGTTTAATGAACTCTAAATTTCTTAAAAAAAAGAGAAATTTGAAAGCTGGGCGGGATCACTTTAAAGTATCAATGTTAATATAAAAACCATCATGGAACTCTTCTCTTTGTTTTAATCTCTATAAGAACAGCCTACGGTCCTGGACCTCAAAATTATGCAATGGTGTTGAGAAGTTCAAGGATATTGTCATAAATATTCAACACGTTACAGTTCAAAGGAGTAAAACAAATTAACATTTTATTTTCTTATTACCTTTGCTGTTGCCATCCAAATATCCTTATATGTAGCCTCAACGATTGGGTCCATTATTCGATTAATCTGAGGAATAATATATAAACAGAGTCATTACAGAACAGCCAAATGGAACAACCACTCTCCCCGAAGGATTGAAATGCACTAACCTCCCCTGCTTGCAAACCTAAGTGTTCAGACCATAATGACAACCGCAGAGTTAGGGAGAATTTTCCCGCTTTCCATGATTTTCCACCCATAAACGAATCAATCAACTCTTTGTCTTCTATAATTATACCGATCTGAAATCCACAGATGAGGCAAAGAAATAATGAAAGAAGGTGCAACAATCATGCATTGATTAACAATCAAAATTTTCTTTTTTTGGCCGAAATTTAACAATAGAATAACTGTAGAGAAGGCCAAAATGAAGCATGTAGCACGTAACAATTAAAAGAGGTCAGCCAACTCCTACCAAAAAAAAAAATAAATAAACAGAGAGATCAGCCAACAGCCAACATTCTAAATTTTGTGGGTGATAAAGACGTTGGCAAGCAAAAAAGAGATTTTGAGACAACCACAAATTGAGAGTTTTGAATATCGGCTTTAGTTGTTGTAGCATTACTTAAAATATTCCATATTTCAGATCCAATAGATCATTTGGAGAAAAAAATTCCAAGATATTCATGGAAAACCAATTTTTTTTTTTTAACTTCACATCTTGCAACAAAAAATATCTGGGAAAAAAAAAAGGAGTTGAGAAAATGTAGAATAAGTGTTTGATGGAATATGGAACATGGAATATCTGGCCCTTCACAAAAAAGGATAACACAATTACAGAATGTAAAAAAGCGATACCTCAGAATCTCTGGAGCCAAGTAAACTCCTATCATTAATATTAGCAGATCCAATCAAAGTTGTACAGTCATCAACAATCATGATTTTACTGTGAACATATACCTGCAGTATGCTTAAATGAGTTGCCTTTGATCTATTAACTTAAGCATAAGACATATAAATGCAGGGGATACCTGGCTGGTTGCAACAGGACCACCATCAGAGAGTCTACCATAAGCCCTAAGGCCGTAGAAAGAGATGTAATCATGTACTTTTGAACCAAGAAATTCTAATAGTT